TGATGAGTAAACTCCCTTTTTAAAAAGAGGTGCAGGACTTCACACTGCTGTGAAAAATGATCTCTGAGTGAGCATAAGAATACATCTGAGGACATCATCTGGGTCTTTAGGAAGCACTGATGGACATATTTCAATATTTCTGACATTTTATAGAGCAAACAACTAATAAAAATATAATCAACAGCAACATCCAGGTGAGCATACAGTACCTTAGACTGTTTGAACTGGTAATGATCGTATTCGTCAACCACAACAAACAGGTTGTCTACAGACCTCAGAAGATGGACCTACAGCGGAGAATTCAAAGAACAGACAGACGATCAAATACAGAAATGTTGGATGCACGTTATGTGGACTCGTCCATGTGAAAAGCTGTTCACCACAGTTCAAGTGAGACACACCTGAGGACAACAGAGCAACGCAGGTGTCTCACCTGGAAAAGCTTGTCAGTAGTTATTGGAAAGTAAATGCGACCACGATCTTTGCTGATTCGTGCGTCCGCCCCTATCTTCTCCTTGACCTCCTCTGCAGCAGTGTGTTCAAACCCTGTGGGCACGGTTGCTCCGACGGTGACGGTGATGATGGATCCACTGGTGGCATCAGCCTCAGGGGAGGAGGACGTGGACAGACCCAGTGTGTCAGAGCCGGGCTCTGGGGCTTCATCCCCGGGGGTGGACATCCTGTCTCTGAGGGCTGGTTGGACTCAGTGGATGCTGCTGCTGGTGTCAAGATCAACAGCTCACCTGGAGACAGAATAATGAGCAGCCTGTCAGGACTGTGTGTGTGTGTGTGTGTGTGTGTGTGTGTGTGTGTGTGTGTGTGTGTGTGTACATTCAGGCATATTCACTAATTTCCAATGATCTGAGGTCTTTTAAAGAACTACAGTTTGCTCTCAGGGTGTCATCAGTTAGCAGGAAACACTGCATAGATCTGAACACTGTGAACAAACACCGGTAACGTTACTGCTGGCGACTTAATGCTGTCATTAAGTTAGCAGGCTAACGTTAGCCTCAAGGAGCTCAAAGTTACAGCTAACAAGCTAACATTAGCAACAGGGACACTTTAATGTTAAACTGCTGCCGCGTCGTAACGTGAGCTGATGCGACGAGGCCGCCGGCGGAACCGTAAAGCCTGAAAACAACGTTTAAAGTCTTAGTTGTGCTGAATTCGCTAACTGAAGTGGACCAACCTGTCACACACGAGGCGGCAACATGCTTCCGCTCAGCAGCAACAACACGGAGGCTTCCGGTCTGATCCTTCAGAGTAAAAGCATCATCTCCAGACACAGTCACCCTCAAATGTATTCACACCCTTCTATTAAAGAAATTGACAATATTTACTCAAATACCTACAAACTGATAAAAGTAATAATAAATAAAAATTTACTAAATTATAATTTAATGAAATATGACATTGCTGTTAATAATTTTAAAAAAACAACTAGAAACTAAATTAGAGCACTTTGCTGATGAGCAGTGAAACCAGAATACCTGTCAACAGGTGCAGAAGTCTGACTGAGAGTTACAGGAAACACCTGATGGCAGTCAAAGGGTTGTTCAACTAAATATTAGTTTACGGCTCCCATCATGCTGTTTTTTTGTTTTTTTGTTTGTTTGTTGTTTTTTTTTTAAATATTTCTGTTTAACCACAATTCAAAAGCAACGTCATGATTTTCATTAAATTTTTCTTCATTATTGCTTTTGTCAATTTCAGCTTATTTCAGAGACTGAAGCTGTGAAGGAGCCACAGATGTTGTTTTTGAGTATTGATCACTGGGCTAATAGTTTGTTTCATTTGGTTGTCATGGTGATGTGGAGCACAGGTCACATGGGTGTAGTTGGAGACGGGCTGAGCTGTCAAAAGGGCTGACAGTCAGTCACACGGTGGGACAGAGGAGGACTGGGGAGCCGTAATTTTTGTTGACCGCCACCCTTGAGTGACTAACACCAAGCAAACGTATAGTGTCTTTATTTGTGTAACGCCTGTGAATCACAAATCACTTTTAATAAAAGGAGAGAAACACATCCGACTTGTGTGAGTTGTTTAGGAAGCGACAGCACGTCATACAGTTAGACAGAACCCATCCTCAGCCTCTCTAGCAACTGTGGAAGTCACTAAAAGCTGCTTTTTTTCCTTATTTAATGGGAGGGTATGAATACATCACCTCTGACCTAAAGGTTCACTGAAGCATGATCTGTTGTTAAAAAACAGAAACATCAACACTTTGTCACACAATCTGAATTTATTTGCTGGAAAATTTGATGTTTTTATTTGTCTACTTTGGTAAGAATAAAAAAAGAATAAAATGCCCCCCATAAAAACAAAGTCTTTTTCTTTAAAAGTATATAGTTTAAAATATCTTTATAATATGTAGACAAGAAATATGGTGAAGTGAACAAATTTAGAAAGTAATGAAATTATGGACTTCATAAAAATAAATAACAGGCTACAGGTTTGTCGTTATCAATCAATCGATCCTTTGGGAAATCTTTTGATCAACACTAATTTGTTACTTGTGCTTTAGTTGAACTTTTTCAATTTAATATTTGTTTTACTTTGCTTAGAACATTAAAGGAATCATCATCAATTACAGAAATGTAGTCGATCAGAGTGTGCACCTCTCTGTTAGCCCGATCACGTCTGCTATCTGAACACCTGTCCAGTCTCAATAACACATCTTTTACTTTTAAAACCAATGCCAGTCATGTCACTGGCAATTCTGGAAGTACATTTGATTTAATGGTTATAATCGTTACTAAAATAATTTAGGTGGTCAAATGCATCCTTGAAAAATGATAAATTTCAAAACCCAAAGCAGTTCACGTGCATTGGTGTCGCGGCGCCAAAAAATAAAAAAATATGCAGGCTTAGGCTATACATATAAAGCAACGAGCCTTTTTGGGAAATGTAAGGAGTAGAAAGAACCGATATTTATGTTGAAAATGTAACTGAGTAAAAGTAAAAAGCCGTCAGAGAAATAAATACAGTAACAGAGTATTTGTAATTTGTAGCTTGCCATCTCTGACCACAAATTGCTTCGATGTCACTCTGCAGTCTCCCAGGATTCTGCTTAAACGCTGTAAAACTGCTCGAATGAGTTATTCAGCGATGCATGCCAGAACTGGAAGCTGATTCTAGAGAAGAAGAGTTAAGAAAGCTACACCTTAAAGGATTGCCTGTTCTTGGAAAACTGCAGTTTCAAGGTGGGATTCCTCAGGTGTGGCGCTGACTGATGATTTTGCTCATGATGTGTCATCCAGCAGATTAAAGAACAAACACAGTATGAGAAGGTAAAAAAAAGGCTTTCAACATAGAGGATCTTTAAACCATCCATCATCTCTACACCTTAATCCTCACCAGGCTCATGGGGGGCTGGAGTCTATCCCAGCTGACTCAGGGTGAAGGCAGGTTCACCTGGACAGGTAACCAGTCTATCACAGGGCTACACTTAGAGACAGACAACCAAGCACACTCACATTCACACCTACGGACAATTTACAATCACCAATTAACCTCAGCATGTTTTTGGACTGTGTGGGAGGCAGCCAGAGAAGATCCCGTTGCCCCCACCGGGACGCGAACCGGCGACCTTCTTGCTGCTAGACAACAGTGCTACCAACTGCACCACCTTGCAGCCCATCTTTAAACCATTACATACAAATTTCCAGAATCACAATAACACACTAACATTCCTTTTTTTTAATCATCAGTACGTCACCAAAAAGTAAAGAAATGTAACACAAGTAACGTCATGCATGCTGCACATTTAGACTTTTTCTTTACTGAGAATTCTTCTTTTCATTTGTCACCACCTGTGTGCACACATGCATTTGTGAAGCGAGTGTGTCGGAGTGTTTGCTTGTGCGAAATGTGTCGAGGGGTAAAGACAATGTGTGAAATCCTGTGAGAAAACAACACTGTCTGCTGATGTGTCACCGAGCTCTGCAAGAAAGAAAGAAAGAAAACTCTAATCAAAGAGGAACAATCCCTTTTCATTTCTGTCAATTCATTCTCATGCATTGCGCAAGGAAGGATTTCTTTCACCACCGTTTTAATGTTTTACTGTAAAATCTCAGTGTCACCATGCCTTCAGCACACATGCACTGTGGCTTTTTCCTCAGTCATCACACTGCACATCAGGTTTTCAAAAACGTTGGCCACACCTGGACTGGAAGGAGAAATACCTGAAGAACCGACTGCAACAGGAAGGATTTAGTGCTACGATGCAAGCCAATAAAAGAATTGTGCCCAAGTCTAAATACATCAAGTGTCATTATTGCTCTTTAAAGTTTGTTTTTCATTGTTTCCTCATATTTATCGACTGTCTTTTCCCGCCTCCAATCACTGCATCAGTATTTGTTTTGTTCTGAAATCCAGAATCCCCAAAAGGAAGTCTGATTATTGCTGACTTGACGCATCTTGATCATCCAATCATGTGTCTTCATGCAGCCTCACCGGCTAAAACTTCCGGGTACTGTTTTATAACAAGTCATCCACAGAGGGCGCTGTGATATAAAAAATAAAAAAACATCCACTGAACATGCAAACCAACAACAGACAGGAGATATGAGCAAGATAATAATATAAAAAGGCCTGAGGAAATCTAGTGTGCAGGAGACAGGACAGAAGAATTAAAACTACCTCCTCTTTCTCTTTCATTTCTGCCTGTAATTATAGTTTCCTGTTCACTTCTCACTGTGGCTGTAATTCATACTTTCATTTACTGGGCTGACAGAGAAGCAAACAGTTTCCTCTTATGTTCGTCTGAATTAACTCAGTGATTAAGTGTCAGCACAGAGATAAAAAAATAATAATGTATAGTTCAGTCAGACACACATCAGACCAATTCCTCATCGTGACAATATGCAGCTACACTTCCTCTGTTAAACTGGCTTATGATAGAATAACCAAATGCACTGCTTTGATTGATTTTTTATTCTTTCTCATGGACATTATTAGTCTCTCCGGTGGCCAGACGTCTCAGACAAGGTGTCGTACAGCCACCAGTAATCTCCTTTCTCCCATTTATCATTTGTGATTAATGAAGTTTATGCAGAGAATTACCGTCTTCTCTTCTGTGTCACATTTCCTCCTGTGATTAATTGAATCTCAGGGAAATGGCAAGTTCAATATGATTCTGTCTGTTACCAAACACACATGGAAGAAAGCAGCTCTCACTGCTTTTCTTATTTATCTGCATGACTTTCTCTGACAGAGAGACTGAAACTCTCCCTCCTCGTTGCCTCGCCACACTACACGCGCTGTGTTTATTGAAAATGTTTTGTTGTTTTCTGACTTCATGCTGCAGGTCAACTGATTAGTAAGTGTGAAGTTTGAGAGACAAGTGGGCGTTTGTTCATGTCAGGGAACGAAAAGTTCTGCATAACAGATGGCCGGCGTTGCACAGAATACAGTCAGTCACTGCAGGAAACTTTGGCAAAAACAACTTTTTTGCATAATGCATGGATTTAGTCCCTCTGCAAAGAGTGGCTGACAGTGAAAAGAAACTCCATCTTGCCTGTTTGACAAACACTGACAACCACAGTCACTGTTTGATCTGTGTAATAATCAGAGGTTAACAACAAAACACAAGCTGCTCGTATCTTCAGGTGCAATCTCACGCAATTTGTAACAAAGACGAGCACGCAGGCGTGAGGGAATATCGTCAGTTTGTAAAGCCGAACAGGCCTTTAGTCTGGGATCCTCTCCCAGTGTTCAGAGGACTGACTGAGATTATTCTTCAGATCATTTTCTTTGCGTCATATTCCTTTATATTGCAGAAGATATGAACCAATATTTTGATGAAGATTAAACGCAGCAAACCACGGAGACATCTCTCTCTCAGCACGAGAGCGTGACGACTGATCGACGACAGCGTAAAGCTGCATCAAGGAAGAACTTAATGAACTACAAAAGCGGTTGTCAGTGGTTAGCAGCTGATTGCACTGCAATGTGTTCTCGCAAGTACATCTTTGTCAAACTGCAGTTATTAGAGCCTCAGTAGCCTTTAACTGATTGGAAAGAATCTAAAACACTGAATCATAGCCTGAAACCCACGTGTGTTTGATCAAAGGTATCAGGCTGTTTTATGAGGCGGAAATCAAATATGAAAGTAAAGCTGCTAACAGCAGGACAACTCATTCTATCAGAACACTGAACACTTAATCCAGAGTCCAGATATGCTTACTTTGGTACACATATAGATGTGAATGCCTGTAGTCTGAGGGTTTTTTAATGTCTGTTATTGTGTAGAATGAGTAATAATGGATTCAAGTGTTTCTGTAGTCTGACTCATTCCACAGATATTGGATGGGTGACACTAATAAATGACATTAGAAAGTATCTGAAACATCTACTGCACATGCACAGTCTGTATATGTGGGTCGTACTCTGTAGCATCCTGGAGAAAGTTTCAGTTACTCATTAAGTTTGAATTATTAATAGTTACTGTCACATGAAACAAGATAAAAGGGATGAAAGTGCATCCAGGCTAATGAAGAGCGTTATCAAACCAGAAGGGTGGACGCATTTAACTTCATGCCTGATGAATCTACACTCAGCATAATTGTCATAATGATGACAATGCCTAATTGTTATCAACAAATTTAAACAAATTGGTTCGTTAAAATGACTGGCAGCTCCGATGTGCAGGAGTGAACAATGATGCAACCGACTACAATACGCATCACGCCGAGCTTTTGAGTCACGCTGACCCTGATTAAACAAAAAGATTCAAGAAAGGTGGCAAAGAAAAGCAAATTATCTGCAACCGCACCGTCTGTACTGGAAAACTGCTGCTCCCAAGACCTTCAGCAGAAAGAAACTGGACTGAAGAAGCCTCTCAGATAAGAGGTGAAACATCTTAAAGAATCAAAAAGAGAAGTTCAGTTGCTTTTTACTGAAGCTCTTACGATCACCTCGACCTGGGCGGCTGACATGTTGAGCAGTGCTGAAGATCCAAAACAGCACAACCCAACATTTTGCTTCCATTTATTACACATCACACAACGGCATTCGGTACAAACCAGGCAAAAAGTCTCTTCTGGATTCAGACGGTTGACGACACGTTAAGACCCCGAAAGAACCGAGATCTTAAATCAAAAGTGCGATTAGGAAGGTGACGAGTTACGATGATCATCTCAACACGTCTGTTCAGCGCCTTCTCTCAGACTCTCACTCATGTATTCCTCTACATCCTGTGAGAATGACGCTTTAGATATTCAGACTGATGAAAGTGTTGATTTGCAAGTACAGTTTCCTGTAGATTTAGTGCAAAGGTTCCGGTTGAATAAATTGTATTACTGGGAAAAAGTCTGACTGATGGACAGTGAAAAGGCATCATCTGTACATTTGGGTTCGTTCAACATTCACCATTTGATTTATTATAAATCACTTGATAGGCATTAGTGAGAGCAACTTTTTAGATGAAAGGTTGTGAGCAATCCTCCTGGTGTCTTCTTTCTCTTTGACTGTATTGTTTATTGGTAATTAGTGTTTTATCTCTCTCTCTTTTAAACAAACACACCACATCCACAGTTAGACAAACAGGTTAGAGTCAGTCTAACCATGCTGGTACTATTTCTCGCTGTCTTTCTTACCCTGGCGCCTGTGAGCTGCAGACTGAATGCAGAGGTCGTCTTCAGTGTGCCGCTATGCAGGTTTGTGCTGCCTCATTGTGAGTCAACAGCCCGCTGCCTTCTGAACTGAGAATAGCAAAGGTGACAGACAACAAACTGAGTCCCCCGGCCTGCTGCGAAGCACCGAGATGACAGAATCTGTCAAGAGACACACTCAGTCTCTTTCTCTGCTATACGGAAAAGATGCTTTTCTTCATGACCTGACTGCAAACACTGTGAACAGAAAACATCACGAGCACGGCTGTGTCGCATCACAATTCATTTCTACAAGCAATCCAAACACATTTCAGTCACATTTGAGAGGTTCTGCATTTTGTTGCTACAACATTTGATCAGCATCGTGTTCTTTGTTCTGCTCAGCCAGGTTCCACATTTAGCAGTCTGGAACAGTTTATACAATGGGCTGGTTTTCTCTGCTCTATTTCAGTTAATGTTGACTTTATAGGTATTTCCTATCTTTTATACATTAAGTGGGCAACAGACATTGCTGTGATTGATGCCATTGTTGTTGTCAGCATCAGTTCCGTCAGTAAGAACAGGGAGCGCAAACAATGATTGCAACACGGGCAAGAAGATGCACGTTTGCGATGAAGTAGGGTGGTGCAGAGGACAAATTTCCTTTTCAGAGATAATGGCTTGTGTGCATTTGCAGCTACCGCAGCGTGCCGTCATGATTACACATCAAAGTATCAGTGGTTGTGGAGGTGCCAGTTTGTCATCATCCCCGAGCCGTTTAACCACCAGGCTTCTCACTTCACAAAGATTATCCATCATAGCCGCTGCTGAGACGCGCCACACCTCGAACAAACAGTGTCCACGGAGGAAGTCGTGGTGAGACGAAGATGTGAGGTTTCCATGGCAATGGAGTGGAAAGAGGGGGCCATTATGGGCTTAGGTTATTGTTTGCTATATCTCTGTAAAAATGTACATGAGTGTTAGTGAAATGAGAGCTTACAGGAGGAGGTTACAAAAAAACACCAATTAAAAAAAAAAAAAAAAGTATAGAAAAGTCTGCAAAATGACAAACATTATGTGGAAATTAACAAGCCAACATCTTAGATATTGTGCCAATAATGCCAAATTACATCATTTTAAAAATTATTTCACAGAAGATTTATTCAGATTTTTACTGTTTTCTTAAATCAGGTACAAATTAAAGTAAAATTGCAATAATTATCTGTAATTAAACATGCACACACGTTACCTTGCACTTTAAAAGTAAGTCTTGTTTTATATTTACGTGTACTTTTATATTTAAACTCTGTAATCGTGTATTTTTGGGAAATTCTGCGGAATTATTTGCGATTAATTGATTGATATTGCAAATAAACAAATGTGTTTAGTGCCTTTTTGTTGTCTTCCAAAAACATGGCCATGATCAACCAAAGCTGAGCATGTGTGTTAACACCTAATTGAAAGCATTTGATCGTAATGAGGCCCATTCTGTGGAATCAAAGTGTTTTACTGCAGAACCTCTGGGTGTTGGATCACAGTCTGTAAAATATCAGCGCTTCTCAGGAACATATGCTCTAAAAACATATAACTACTCACTTTTAAACTATAAACTGGTTGTTTTTGCACTTTACATGACTTCAGCATAATGATTATGTGTGTGTGTGTGTGTGTGTGTGTGAGAGAGAGAGAGAGAGAGAGAGAGAGAGAGAGAGAGAGAGAGAGAGATCTCAAAACAACATGTGACAAAGGGTGACCATGATAAAATATAACTGCACAAACTACAGATGTGTGTGTGTAGGTGTGTGTGTGTGTGTTGTGGTGTTTTTTTTTTTTCTTCACTTTGTGGTTCGGGTTAAGTTTGAGGATTAGGCAAGTGTGTTTAGGGTTAGTCTGCAGGAAATGAATGGAAGTCCGTGTAATGTGAAAGGATGGTGTGTGTGTGTGTGTGTGTGTGTGTGTGTGTGTGTGTGTGTGTGTGTGTGTGACAATATGAGGAGGCTCACGTGACGATCTTTTAAATTCCTGTTTCCCTGCAGCGCACTTTGTCAGTGTGTGTGTGTGTGTGTGTGTGTGTGTGTGTGGCTCGCGCTGCTCGCTGCTCGTACGCATGTCTGTTGCGCTCCGAGGACCTGCCTGCTTGAAGCCGTCCAGGCGTCGCTCTGCTCCCTTCATCATGTCGTTGGTACAGTTTTGAGCTCGTTTCGTGTCTTTTTGTTGTTGCTGTTGTTGCTGCTTCCTTCTGAGCTGCCTGGTACCAGGAGGAGCAGCAGAAAGCAGCAGGAGGAGGAGGAGGAGGAGGAGGAGGAGGAAGACTGAGCAGAGGAGAAGAATGCAACACTGGACCGCTGCTCAGCTGTTATTCCTGCGCTCATTTCGACCATAAATTTTTTCCTTCTTCTGCAACAGCGTTCACGCCTTTGTTGTCCTCCAATGCACGGCCACTAGAACAGACAGGAGGAACACGGAGGATCGCGCTGCAAACCGGAGATCAACAGACCCCGAGAGAGTCCCGGACTTGCAGGGTCTCCCCCCTCCCCGAAACCCAGAGGAACCATGTCATCCACCAAATACAAGAAGGACAAGGAGATCATAGCGGACTACGAGACCCAAGTGAAAGGTTTGTGCTTCACTGTCCGTGCACGTCGAGTTGCTGTTCTGCCTCCCTCCGTGTTTCCACGGCAGGCTGCAGGGCTTCAACCTTTGCGTTCAGCGCACAGCAGATGTCCAGTAAACCGTGACAGTGGATCCAGTGACAGGAGCAGCACAGTGCGCACAGACAGCTCCTATTTTACTCCCATGCTGTCCTCTTCCTGTGCTGCCTTCATCAGGTTAAGCAGCAGCCGCTGGGCTTTCTCTGTGCTCACTGTTAATTTGTCATCGTTTGCTTTGTTGCTGGGTAAAATGAAATCAGTGCAGGTTGGAGGTCTGGCTGCTTTATTGCACCTCGGTTCTTTCATTTGTTGGAGGCCTGTGTTTGGCTTGCTGTGGTTGGAGATGATGGATTTTTAGGATATCTGGGAGTAGATCTAATGCACGTTGTGGATGTCAGATGCATGTTAGGTGTCATAGTTAATGCTGACAAGGTGTCTGCAGTTTTAATGCACAGACCTCATGTTGTGCCTTTGATTCCTGGCAACATGGATGAGACGCTCTCTGATTTACTGTCACGCCTTCTTCTACCCTCAGTGGCTCTTCAGCATGGTTCTACATGAGGGTCTAAAATAACAAGTGGAGGGTTTGGCTCTTGCAGTGAGGCCTATGGTTGTCCTCAGTGCATTGTGTGACACCTGAGGTCATCTCCTCTGTGCCGGTTTCAGAGCTGTTTTTACTAATTACTCCTAATTTAATAATAATATATTTTTTTTTAAATCACAAGGCACTTAAAGTGTTGGTTTATCCTGCAAATTAGGACATACAGGTTGGCCGATATTGTCAGCTGATGTCTGATACATGCCAAGATTAAAACCTTCTTTTTCCGGATTATGATGCAGAAACAGCTTCTTGTCTCTACATTGTTTACAACATGATCAGCCTTGTCTGCAGCACATGTAGCAGAGACGGTATCACAGCTGAGCAGACGGTGGTGCGGAGTCATGCAATGTCTTCGTAGGAACTAGTTTGTGAAATACATTCCAGGGAAGTTAAAAAAAACTGACTCCATAATTTCCCCTTTTCAATAAAACTCTATCATATATAAATAATGTGTTGGTATCAGAATTAGGCTCTAGTGAAATGAAGAGATGTACTGTCCACACTTAAAGCAAGTGTACCGGCGAAGAGCAGACGACAGAGGTTCAGTTTCATGGCCCTTCACCCATTCCTCGCCCTCTCACTCTTGCTGGTTTCGCTCATGCTACCTCTCCGGGGTTTTAGCCGATCACCCCTTTGAGTCATGCAGCGGTCTGAACGCTCCGAGTGCACAGAGTTGCATGTGCAGGACCGATCTCCAGACACATTCCTCTTTGTGTGGGAAGCGTATCAGCTGAATGATTTCTGCTCACCAGACTTTCGCTGCCTCTTAATCTTGCTTTTGTCTCGTGGCATTAGCTGGTCATTGAGGAAAAATGCTTGTAAACATGTCAATGCCCATCTAACTCCGTTGCTTTCCACTTCACTCCAGGCCTTTTTTTTTTTGTAATTCAGGCATCGGTTATTCAGTTTAGATCCAGCTGTATCATGGGAGAATCTTGCTCTGGCTTCATAGATCCAGGCCCTGTCTGCTGCCTCTTTGCATTAGACAGGGCCCTTCAACTGCGTGAGGAGGAAGGATGGTAATTTATGGAGAATGCCGCTTGTTTCTCATTCACAGCTGGTGTGTTGCATAGCCTAGAGACACACAGGGCTCTGCTTTTGACATCCACCACCCCACAACAATGGCGATGTTGTGAGCTGAAGCAGGCAGCGAGCAAACGGTAATGAAATTCAGATTGGAAATTGCACCTGTCTTGTTTTGAGTTATTGCTTTATGGTTAATGTGTACGTGGCAGAAGGGGCCAAATCATCGGCGTGTCACTGATTGGGTCACAACAACATGGCAGGGTTTCTTCATTATGTATGAGGGCTAATAGACGGGTGACAAAAAGAAATCCCTTGGTTTCAGCAGTAGTTAACAACAAAGGAGTAACTCTGTCGGTGTGTTTGCCAAATTTTGCGTCGGGTTTAAAGGCGATGGCTGCAGATGAGACGCATCACAACATCAAATTTAATTCCTCTGTCACGGTGCAACAAAGTGCTAAAATCTTAACCCCTGCCATTAATGAATTCCTAACCACCCTCGAGGTTGGCTGCCAAAGCCGAGGTCTCTGAAGGACCCTGGGAGATGGTGTTCACTTTATTCAAGCTGTTCAGCTGGCAGATCCTGCATTAGCATGTCAAAAGAGAGGGTTCATGCGCTGAACAGAGAGAGGCTGACTGAGGAGCTTGGACTCTGTTTTGCAGCAAACCACCGTGTGGTTGCTGGACTGCTGCCGCCTCCTGTTTGCCAGCTTTATAGGCAGCCTGTGAAGTGGGCTCAACCATCAGCAGCTGTTTGACATTTACAATAGAAGCTTTGGGGATAAACCTATACTTTGCCACTATTGTATTCAAACGTATGCCTTAAAATCCGAGCTAACTAGCTGGCTTCACAGAGCCTGGGAGCTGTTGGGAGATTTGGTGACGATACAGGGCAAAGTTTAAGATTAAACACCTGAACTCAGCTCATTTTCATTCACCTCTGTTTATGTGTATATCGTTTCGCTGTGCTGTACTTTGACTTGTGTGACAGCAGGTTCTGTTGGCTGTGTTCCCTGAATCCAGCTCTGCAATGAATCACTGATTTAATGCCCTGGATGGAGTGCAATACAGCTTTGCCCCATTGTAATTATCTTGCATACTGGCCCCTTAATAATGCTGTTTTTCTTGCAGTATTTTGCAGATAAAAGTCAGCATGATCAGTTTTTTGGTTTTTTTTCTTAGCTGATGGCTTCGTCTGATAGCCAAAGCCACATCTGTAACTGATTTTTTGTGTAAATCATTTACCAGTGACTGCCATTTACATGTACAAAGAGCGCAGGGCCCACAGTGGTCGTCATTTTGTAAATGTAACCCTGCTTTAGGTCAGGCATGGCCACCTCAGTCCTTACCCACGCTGACACAATAAAAGCACACTCAAAAACAAGTACTGAGAAAGACGCACACGTTTATGGGAAACAGTTTGAACAACACAACACGGTGTTGCTGAGAGGACGGACAGTTTTACTGTGATGCACATTATTGAAGAATGGATGCCATTTGTTTCTGAATCGCTCTGATCAGAAAAATGAATGCAGGCAGCTGCTCATGGAAAATTTTTTGTCCCCCAGATGTACACATTCGAATCCACCCACGCCAAGCACACACACTTGAGGTGATGCTGAAAAGGAAGCATGGTTTTAGCACCTCTGGGTTCAGGTTTCTATTTGTCATTCGTCGTTAGCCGCTGCTGGTTCCTCTCTACTAAACCCAACGCAAACAAGTTGAAACTCCAAAGCAGAACCTTATAAAAACCTGAGAATAATGTGATCAGCATGCATTATGCAAACATACACACTGTTAGAGAGCATCGGCACACAGCTTTGTGTCATTATTCCTCCTGCAGTATGGAGGGTTGTGTGGTTTGTGTTGTTACAAAACACGCCTCTAACCGCTTGTAAGAAAGTAAAACTGCAGTATGTCATATGTGTATTTAAGGATCCCTCTAATGAGCCTGGAAAGTGCTGTCAGTTCGGTTAAATGCTGATGAGAATTATGTGAGACACAAGGTGTGTCTCTGTTTGTTGTTGCTCCAGGCCACAGAGTCTGCAGAGGGAGATAAATGGTGAAAACTATTCCCGGTTCGTACCGTTTGTTAGTGAAGCAGCACTGAGACACACTCAGAGCTGCTACTGTCCGTCGTGCATTGTTTTCTTCAGAAACATGCGTCGTTCAGTCGACGCTGGAAACGTGTGTGAAGATGAGAGCTTGTTACCATCACGGTGGGATTTGGTGAGTTACCGATTAGCACCCTGCTGGGCAGCATAAAGCCGGCTGTGTGGAGACTGACATGTTGGGAGTTGAAGAAATGGTCACACTGAGTCACTTGCTGAGGATCTTCCAGCTGCCCGCTTATTTGGCAAACCTGCTGCAGACTGAATGAACATTTGCAAAGACAAAAAAAAAAAAAACCATCCACCAGCTATTAAGGCAGAATAATCTCGAGCGGGACAGCTTGTTTGTTCTGCGGTCCAATAAATTTTGGACTTCATTCAGACTTGGTTTGTTTGTGTGCAGTGACTAGTCCAACAAAGACACAGCACGCATTCCTCTGTCGCATGAGTCACATTATTTATATGAAGCAAAGTATTAAAGAAAATGTTCAACACTTTTGGATATGCTCACTTTCTTGTTGGGGGTTAGATTAGAAGACTGGGACAGCTCCCAGTTGTGCACATGAAGTATGAACTTAGTTTGGTTTAGCTAGAAATGACTAGTTTGATTGATTGAACTCCACCTAGCAGCACCTTCACTCATAAGTTACCAAACTATGTTGAATATTTGATGCTAAACAATTGTGTTTAATCGAGGAAACCTGAGAAGAAAGCTGCAAAATATTGTCTTGGAAATAACAGCAAGACTGTAAATCTATATGCTGTCACCCTACATACACACATCTTAGGCTCCCCGGCACTGCATTGTGTTTGCTGCACTTCAGAAAACAATAACTTCCAGTCGTACTGAGGTGTCACGCCGCCCTCTGTCACCACAGTGTTCAGCTTCAGTTCTTCTTCACTCTGTCGACTCGTCTCCGGTCTCTATAACGGCAGTATGATGAACGCAGCTGCCACTTGATGAACTGAGTTTGTTCTGTCCGTTTCACAAGTGTTCAAGACATAATCAGCCTTTCATGAAACGGCGGCTCTGCCAGCCATAGATGATCATTTAACACAGCCTCAGAGTAGCTGTTTTTTTTGTTTTTTTTGTTCATGTGCTGGCATTGATGAAGTAGACAAAAGTCCATTTGAATGTAAAAAAAAAAAAGAAGTTTCATTTCCTTGGTTATTTGGTGCCAGCCAGTGCATGATTTTGCTTTTCATTGAACTTTTCTATGCTGACAGAATT